TTCTGCTTCCCTTTGGGCCACATCAGTGAGGCAAAGGGAGGGTCTTGTCATCTGGGCAGCCCAGGACCTCCAGACACACTGCCCAGGCTTGTGCCCTGGGGAGGTCACTTCGGCGCTGCTAACACAGCGGTTTGACTTCACCCCCGGAGGTGCACTCCGCTGTCTCTCAAGACAGACAGATGCTAACAGCAATTCCCATCAGCCCCAGCCAGCTTAGCCATTGATCAGGGATGATGGGAGTTGTAGTCTAACAGCATCTGACTGCAGACCCAAAGTTGAGGAACTCAGTCTAAAACCTAAAACCCCAACTACTCATGACATCAGCTACTGTAGCACGGGATGGCTCCTCCTGAACAATCCCCTCCTGGCAATTATGACATTCATATCACATCCTTCCTCCAAGGCTGGCACACGTGGTCCTTGTCCTCCCACCTGATTTTATCTTGCAACAAACCAGGGAGGCCAAGATACAGGGGAGCCTCCTGGGGAGATTCAGGGCTGAGTGAGGATTTGAATCCAGATCTCCCAGTTTGCAACGTGAGGTGAAAGACAAGGTGGCCCTTCCTCCTAATTCAATGTACAGAAGCCAGCCTAACTGACAGCTGAAACTTAACTTTTAACACTGGCAATAGGACAGTGTCCTACACTGCATCTGAGGGCAGCAGGCTAGCTTAGGGGGCAAGGGGCAAGCACTGCAAGACGCAGTTTCTCTTTGGCAGACAGGCTCCACCAGACCTCCTCTCCCTCAACAGCCATTCCATCAGACTGCCGGGGGCGGGGGGGAGAGAGATGGGAAGCAGAAGTCTCCCCCAGGCATCTCTTTACCCCTGCACTATGCAAGTTGGTTGTTATAGGAACCACCACTTAAGAATTGGTGCCCGAGTTTGCATTTCGCCCCTCCTCTTCCCTCCCCATCCCTTTTCCCTTGTGTGCTGTGGGTTTTGTTTTTTTAGATTGGAAGCCTGTATGCTGTATGTTGTTGTTTTTAGATTGGAAGCCTGTATGCTGTATGTTTTTTAGATTGGAAGCCTGTATGCTGTATGTTTTTTAGATTGGAAGCCTGTATGCTCCACGGGATCAGAGCAGGCTCGAAGAAGAGCAAAGGGGAGCAGTCTCAAAGGAGGATTCCTAACGAAATGGAACAGCATCCTGAGCAGCTAGCTGAACTGGAGACAATCACAGAGCAGTCTTGTTGCAGCTGGTAAAACACCTTGGCAGAAGACTGATCCAGGGAAGGACTGGGTGGGCAGGGGTGTCCGGTTATAGGAAAGAGTATTCCTGATGAGTACAGTGACGCTCGGGTTGCAAACGCGATCCATGCGGGATGCACGTCCGCAACAGTGCATCTGCGAACGCGCAAGTTGCAATTCGGCGCTTATGCACATGTGCAACCGCCCAAACCCGGAAGTAACCCGTTCCGGTACTTCCAGGTTTTGGCGGTCCGCAACGTGAAAAAACGCAACCTGAAGCATCTGTAACCCGAGGTATGACTGTATTAGCTCTGACACCAAAGGGTGCTCTCTTTAAAGAAAGGGCTGGGCAGAAGGAACAGTAAAACATTAATTCAAGTAGCAAGTTGTTACACACATCTCAATGCAAGTTTCCTGCCAGAGAGTGGCAGGGAGGTCACGAGCCGTTTCTGGAAAATCAGGACTTGCCATCAGCTGACTAAGGTGTTTCTCCTAGAGAAAGAGGGAGAGGTTTCTCAGCAAATGAACGTTAATCCAATTCCTCAGGGGAGATGCTTGCTGGAGGCTGCCTCCACTCCTGTCTCAAGTATATTAATGCTAAATAAGGTTGTCTGCTTGCATTAGATATAGTTGGGAGTTCTGGAGACCAATTAGGCTTGCACCTATCAATCTGCATAATAGGGTCATATTACTGTGAGGACATTCCCCTGAAACGCAGCTACTATGGGAGAGGATATTTGGCACGAACCAGTGAGGTTTCCTCTTGACACTTAGGTCGAACTACGGTAGCTTTCTCCAATTCCTTGCAATGGTGCTGCCCTCACTGCTTGAAGAAAAGCAAAATATCTTGGGGCATATGCAGAGTGCCAGTTGCAACAGAGATTCTTGGTAACACAAGGGGGGCTGGTGTTACCCACAATATAGAGAAACAATACCATTGCTAGCTGAGACTTGCAGATAAGCTTACACAAGAAATAGTACTTTCCAGGCTCAAAGTGTAGAATCTAACCAGAGTTTCTGAACCCCCGCCTCCCAGAAAATACAGCAGTGTCAAGTGGAATGCCCGCTTCACTTGTTCTGCAAAACAGACATCATAACTTTGTTGCAGGCTCAAGTTTCTATCTAGCCACTGAACTCCAACCATCTGAGCACTGAAGGTCAGTTTTCCCAGCCATTCAGACCCAAAAGCACATCTCGTGAAAGGGGCTTTTGTAAAGCAATAAATGATATCGGGGGACAATCATCCTTCAGCCAGGCAAGCAGAAAAAAAAGGAGGAAGAAAGATTACCACATGTTCAGTGTTATTGCTTAAAAGCAGACTGATGCAATATGAAATACAGTATGCCAACTTTCTAGCCTCTAAGGGGGAAAAGTGTATGTAAGAAAAAGAAACTATTGTGCCTAAAACTGCACAGATGCTTGTGGGGCCAGGGAGGGGGCACACTTTCCTAGAAAGTAAGTGACAACATAGTTTTAGGCCTCAATCCTAGACAGCCATAGCCTGAGTGAGGAAAAGCATGTATGCGGGCAGAAGTTTTTTGCAAGTTCCAGCTTCATGGGAATGGCAAGCTGCTGTTCCATTTTGAAGTGGGTCAGCTTGATGATGATGATAAAATTATTATTATTATTATTAATATTATTATTATAAGAAGAAGAAGAGTTTGGATTTGATATCCCGCCTTTCACTCCCTTTAAGGAGTCTCAAAGCGGCTAACATTCTCCTTTCCCTTCCTCCCCCACAACAAACTCTGTGAGGTGAGTGGGGCTGAGAGACTTCAGAGAAGTGTGACTGGCCCAAGGTCACCCAGCAGCTGCATGTGGAGGAGCGGGGAAGCAAACCCGGTTCACCAGATTACGAGTCCACCGCTCTTAACCACTACACCACACTGGCTCTCTATTAATAATAATAATAATAATAATAATAATAATAATAATAATAATCTGTACCCTGCCCATCTGACTAGGTTGCTCCAGCCACTCCAGCTTCAGTAAAAACCCATGAAATGCCCCTTCCGTTGTGTACAGAAAACTTCCCCTTGTCCAGAACTAGTCTGATACAGGTTTCCTTTGTGTGTGTCTCTTAAAATTATTCCTGTGAGCATGCCAGATCAGATAGCTAAGCTAAGTACTTCACTAAAGCACAGGCAGCTGCAGCTACTGTAACTCACAATAGGACAGAAGAAATGTTATATATGGGTTGGATTTGATCTGGCTAGCCATCATTAATCTACACCCTGTCTGAGGGCGTTTCCTAACCCAACCTTACATTTTACTCCCCTCTAAAGTGACAATTCCCCCCCAAAGAAGCCTGAATGTTTGTGAGCATTCCATGACATTGCAGCATTTGCTCAGCCAAGGGTGGCTTGGGAGAGCTGTTAGCTGATCACTGTATTCTTCCTATTTTACATATAGATCTTAATTTTTATCCTCTTTTCTGATTGCAAATTTTGCCAAATGAGAAGAAGAAGAAGAAGAAGAAGAAGAAGAAGAAGAAGAAGAAGAAGAATAGTAGTTTGGATTTGATATCCCGCCTTTCACTCCCTTTAAGGAGTCTCAAAGCGGCTAACATTCTCCTTTCCCTTCCTCCCCCACAACAAACACTCTGTGAGGTGAGTGGGGCTGAGAGACTTCAGAGAAGTGTGACTGGCCCAAGGTCACCCAGCAGCTGCATGTGGAGGAGCGGGGAAGCAAACCCGGTTCACCAGATTACGAGTCCACCGCTCTTAACCACTACACCACACTGGCTCTCAGTGTGAGACCAGGGAGAGCAACCTGCCCTCAATCATAACAATGCAGTGCTGCTCCAATGAGGAGAAGCAGCTAGGAGCTCAAGTCTTTTATTCTACTGAACCCAAAATTTCAATATTGGCTTGTAGGCAGTGCTTAAACCAGAGTTTCCTAGTTTGGATGTCACAGGAAACTGTGGTTAGGCAATCAGGAAGTCTCTACTCAATCAGGGCATGTGAGAAGAGGAAGGAAAGGCAGAGCACATAAGCTCAACAGCATTACATCTGCACCATACCCCTAGCTTGGTCCTAAATCTATATAATATCCTTAGCTGAAGATTAACACTGTTCTTTGCTGAACACCGGGAAACACTTCAGGCTTGCAGGGAAGGCTGAAACATTTCCTAAAATAACATGATCCCATTTCTGTAATTGCTAACATCAATTATTGTGGAAAGTCCCTATCGTTGTTGTCAGGGGTTCCGGAACGGAGTGAAGAGGGTGGAGTTCCCAGTGTGACAGACGAAGCAGAGCAGGAAGCAGAGAGGGGAAGGAGATCGGGGCAAGACGTCCTGCCGGAAGGGGCAGAGAGTAGTACAGAGAGTAGTGTAACTGTCAAGAGGAAGGTCAGGGGTAGCGAACGCGTGCCAAGTTCAAATGTGGAGGCGCGCGGAAATGCGGAGAGCCCGGAGGAGGAGCCTGGTCCCAAAGCACGGAGGAGGGGGGAACAGGCGTCTGGGGACTCAGCGTCAGGGGAAAGCAGGAGGGAAGGAACCCAGGGGGGCAGAAAGACCCTGCGGAAAAGGAAGGACAGGAAGAGGTGGACCAGCACAAGCCTCTTAAACTGGTGTAGAGGCGGGACTGATTCAGAGGGGACTTCAGCGGTCTAAGCGTAACAGACGTGGGGCTGCGCGCCTCGGCTGTGGAACAAACAATGTACTTCAATAAAGACTTTTGTAAATAAAGTGGACTTGGCGTTGGTCTCTTGTGAGCTGGGACCTGAGGCGGCCCTGACAGTTGTTGTGAAAAGTCCCTATTTCAACCACATAAGGATTCAATTATCGGACACCCTCGCAAGTCAAAGTTTAAGGCAAATTATCTTTTATTCACGTACAAAGAACCAAAAATAGAATTCAGTATGACACTGAGCTGAAACGCTGGATGCTTTTAATTTTTAGACCCCGGACCCACCTATAGCCCAAACCTGCTCCCCCCCCTTTATTTACTATTTATCATGCCATGAAAATAAATGGATTCTGACCCACCAAGAGAAGACTGATGCTGTAAAACTGTCACAGTTTCTTATGTTTCCACACTAACATATCCCTCCTTTTACCAACAATATACCTTGGACTAGAACTGTAGAGGAAACCACAGCACAAAGCTGATTAGAAATGTCACTTCTACAAAATAGTCCTTACCCATTTTACCAATCAATCTTTAAAACTTTGCACAGTAACAAATAAACACCTACTGTGCATTAAAGACCCATGATGGTTTATTTTATCTGTTTAGGCCCCGTGAACTCAACAGATCTTCAAGCTTTGGGCCGGCTATGCATCCTGGCTCCGCAGCGGCGCCTGTGAATTAAAACAAAGACGTTGTGTTGCATTTCAACATGGGATGGCCATGTGGCAGGGAGAAAGGTAAGAAATGCCAGCTCTTGAGTGGATTGTTCACAGTAATCATATTTTCTTATGAGATCTACTTGGGATGAGCTGAACCTACAGATCACATCACTGGCCAACTAGTTTTCCTGCATGGAAGCCAAAAACCTTCTTGGAAAATTGCTTTCAAGTTGCAGAAGAACCATACTATGCTCTTGTACAACTCCTGCTCATTTAAGCTAGGCTTGTGCAAGTTATCTTTCCAGTGAATGGCACCTCTCATCCACTGTTTCCAGACAGGATAATGGCAAGTCTTGTGCCTTTGCTTCTGCAGTCCTGTGCACGCTTACTTGAAAACAAGTCCCACTGAATTCAGGAGGACTCACTTTTGAGTATAGAATCACGCTGCCAGCAGCTCTTGCAATACTAATTTGGGTGAACCGCGTAACAGATCTCCTCTGTGACCAATGTTACCCAAACATCCCAATCAATAATATGCCATTCTTCAATACAGATTCTCAGAACAGTTTCCAATATAAGCAAAACAACTACAGCAGCAAGACACAACAGCAACCTGCACAGGTTAAAAGCCAAAGTAAGAGAAGAAATCCAGAATGCACTTAAAAGATAATACACTCGGCACCAGGCAAACCACTTGAGGGAGGAAGTTGCAAAGCCCAAAAGGGACCACAATGAAAGCTCTCTCTCTAGTTGCCATCGACATTGACTCCAACAATGATGGGACCCGGTTTTGAACTTCCAAAGCAAATCTTAACAAGATGGCCAATTCATGTGGTACTGGGGCGTTTATGTCCCTCCATACATTGCTGGACTACAACTCCCATTGTCCTTTGCTGGCTAGGGCCAATGGGTGTGAAAATCCAACAACATCTGGAGAGCATCAGATTCTCCATCTTAATACAGGAGGAAGTAGACCTCAAGATGGCCAGGTTTTATGTTTGGTTATGTCTCAGTACCAATGACAATGTGTGCCAGTGTCAGAACAGTAACTTCTCTTTTCCTTGAAAGTAAAGCTTATTTGCAAGCCCCTCTCAGGGGTGGCAAACCTGTGGTTCAGAATTTTTTGGGTCTTCCAACTCCAATCAGACTTTGCTGGCACAGCCCAGGGATTATGGGAGTTGTAGTCCAACAACATTTGGAGGACCATAGGTTAAACACTCCTGCATTATACACACGCCCACACACCCTAACCAAACCATACCCATTTGACTCCTTTCGTTGGTTGGTTCGAAACCTGTAACGAAGGTGCTCTGGGGAATGTATTGCAGACCTTTTCTTCATTACCATGTAACAGCTGGTTTATAATTCCATACAGAAGTGGCCTGTTAAAAAATGGGGGGGAAATGTTGAGTAGAGAGAGCTGAAGAAACAAGGGGCAAAGGATCATTAGCCACTCCCATTTACTTCAGTGGAACTTGCACAGGGGGAATCTTTGCTGGACTATGCTTGCAGATTTTCAGCAAAGAACAAACAATTGCCATATGATTGTAACTCAGAAGCAAGGCCCTCTGGGTCCAAGGAAATTGACTTCTTTGTAAGCACTCTTTGGAGGCACACTTACAGCATAATATTATCTACTCAGAAGTAGACTTATTGAACTGCACGGGACTTTATTCCTAGGTAAGTATGTATAAGATTATAGCTTTAGCAATTTACCATAGAGCCCCTGAAGTGTAGGGAAAACATTATATGTGTTGTCCTGCACATATATGATTAAGAATGTATTCATCATGTATCAACACTTAAGGCATTCAAAATCCAGAGGGAGTTTATAGAACGAGAAGATATGGACTATGTCATCTTACACTGATCTGCTGTTTGGATCTTCAACTATATTTAATTCATTAACAAGGAATTCTCTGTCCAACGGAACTTCAGGCTGGCCAGATTCTGAAAAACAGAACATGTGAACATTAAGTCTTCCCAATCCTTTCTGAACTCAGATTCATAGAATCATAGAATTGTAAAAGTTAAAAGGGACCCCAAGAGTCACCTAGTCCAACCCCCTGCAATGCAGGAATTGTATGTACCTAGCTATTTTAGTAACCCCCATCACGCATAGCTCGCAAACAAATCACTATTCACCAGCCACCAATCTCCAGCCACCCAGAGACACATTTCTGTAGGACTGTAACTTCTGTGATTTCCATTTCCATATTCATTATTTATTGGACAGTATCCATGCAACAGAGAAAAGGAAATAGGAAAAAGGCCCACCTGCTGTTAGAACAGATGAAGCATATTTGTATTTGTTGAACTCCAAGTATTCACGGATCAGTTCGTTGATTAAAAGGTTCTCATGGGACAACGATGGCCGTGGTTCGCTTTGGTCATCCAGCGCGTTGAAAACTTCAGCTCTGATCCTTGCTTTGATCTGTCCCAGCGTACCTCTCTTCTCCAGCGTGTCTGTTAAAACTAGGGAGTACAAAACCAGGCAGCTTTTCTATTAACTAGAAACCCCGCTGCAGCTGTTCCAAGTGCGAAAAACAAACAAACACATCACCCCCCAAAAAAGAGAACAACTGACAATAGCTAAGCCTTTAGTTCTCATAAGCTGCATTGGACGGAAGCCAAGTTTCATTAGAAATGCTGGACATTAAAACAATTGCAAATTAACAAAGAAGAATGAGATTGTCGTCTTTTTGTAAAGCAGACAGAATTAAATATGCTTCCTTGTTGGCATGATAAAACGTCTCCCCATCAAGTCCATGACGGGCAGCCAGGCAACAGGTGCAGAACCCCACAACAGAATGGCAGCTGCACCAGGTGAACTTCCACCTGCCATGCAGCTCTTAAAGGCTTAGGAGCAGAGCTGGGGGAGGGCAGACACACACACACCCCAGTGAAAAATAAGTTTAAAACAAGTGCCCCCCCTCCTCCGCGCACCAAGACAAATGAAAAAGAATATTCCCACTTCCCTTTACCTGCTTTCAACTCTGTTATGGTCGCCATCTTGGAAGGGGCAACCGGAGGCGGAAGTGGGAAGGGAGAAATAACCGAAAGTTCCCGGATATAAACAAACCGGCTTCTCGGTCTCTAAGGCAACCTCAGACGCAAAGCACGCGTGCGCATTAGGGACGGAGGAGCGCTCGCTTCCCTCCCCCCGGCGGCGTTATCTGCTCTGCACTGGCTGCGCGCTCAGCCAATAAGCTCACAGGGAACCGTTAACCCTTTCCTTTCCTCGGGCTTGGACTTTTTCCTTGGCGTGGAAAAATGATTGCTGGTTTACTAGTGAATGCTAATAAATTCTTCCCTCCTTGCCCAACAGCATTCGCTGCTGCAAGGAAGGCAGATGCTCAACAGGTGTTGCTGTGCCCACCTTCCTTGCAGTTCCACGCTGGAAATAAATTCTCCACCTGTTGGATTTCTTACTTGTCCTGCAACCATTAAGGCTTAGATGCCTTAATGTGTGTCCCGGTTTGCAACCTTTTTTTGGATTACAACCCATTTTGGGGGGGATTATGAACAAATTTTTTTTAGGAGGCCCCATTGGCGAAAGTGCGCCTTGGGTTACAAACTGTTTTGGTTTACAAACGGACCTCCGGAACGGATTATGGTTGTAAACCAAGGTCCCACTGTAGTGGGTCAAGACCCACCAGTTGAATGCTGATGAGTTTAATTATTAACTTTTGACAGTTCCCAGGTCACATCTACGTTAGATAGCCATAGGCCAGTGGTTTTCAACCAATGCAGTGTGGCACCCTGGGGTGCCTTACATGATAGTCAGGGGTGCTGCAGGCAACACTGCCCTTGGTCCCTCTTTCCTTCCCTCCCTCCTCGGATGCCCTCTCGCATCTCTGCTTCCCAAAGGTTTGTGCGGCTGCTTGCTTCACGTTCACATTTGGGCAGTCGGGCCACTAAGTCTGGGGGCATCCTTTTTCCAGGTCCCTGTGGGGTGACGTGAGGAGGCACTTCTCTTTGGGGCGGAGGGGGGCGGGCAGTGGATCAGAGACTGTGTTGTCGGCAGCTGCTGCCTGGAGAGCTCCCAAGGAGAGGGGGAAGAGGAGAGGAGGCTGAGGGAACACTCCACAAGGGAGGGTGTTCTGCAGGCAAGGGGTGACATAACTGGGACTCTGAGGCTCGGAACACGTTTCCCCACAGGGGAGCCACTGAAAGTTGGTCAACGGAGCCATGCACTCTAAAGAGGTTGAAAACCACTGTCCTAGGCAGCTGTTTTCTATGTTGTACACTAGAGGGCAATGGTACGTGCATGTGTTTATTATTGGCAAATTTTTTTTGTTAGCCATAGTCCTGAACATCCCATCTTCTACCTGTAACTATATCTTCCTCTTCTTCTTCTTCTTCTTCTTCTTCTTCTTCTTCTTCTTCTTCTTCTTCTTTGGCTGGCTTGGCAAATAAAAAAGAAGAAAATCCCAAAATACAATCAATAAAATAATATTGGAAGGAAAAGAAGTAGAGAATCCGAAAGAAATTAGAAAAGGCTTTGTAAACTTTTATAAACAGTTATACAAAAAAGCTGGAAAGGAAAATATAGATCGAATAGAGGAATTTTTGAAGCAGAAAGGCGTGCAACCAATTCCGATGGAAAAGAAAGAGCGACTGAATGAACTAATAAAAATGGAAGATACTCCATTTATTTTTATGTCAGGCAGGGGAATTACAATTACAAGAGCTCAGGACCAAAAAAACGAGCATCCTAATTTAGATCAGCAGGATATTGGGTGGGTATGCACTACAGTGTGATCCTAGGTAATGACCATGGCGCCCAGGATTGGACAAACAAGAATGTCTTAGTCTCATGCCTAAAAGCTGACTATGATGGTGCCTGGTGTGTTTCCCTGGGGAAAGCATTCCACAAACGGGGAGTATGATCTCTGAGTCAGGACCTGACAGCCTTGCTGAAGGGATGCAAAAGGTCACTTTGAGTGTAATCTTAAAGGTTTGCCAATTTTTTAAAAAAATCCCTTTTAAAAGCTTATGGAGGTGCTACATTTTTTTCTTTATTATGCCAATTTAGCAGGGGCAGCTTTTCCTACTTTTTCCTGCAGGCATCCCTGCATTAAGAATGCTTGCATGAGGACAGTTCAAGAAGCATCTGGGAAGCCTATGGTCCTCCAGAGATTGTTGGACTCCAGTTCCCATCAGCCCTGCTCATTGGTGATGATGGTTGAGTTTGATGGGAGTTGGAGTTCTGGAGGGCCATGGGTTGCCCGTCTCTGCCATTATACCAAGGAACCTAGCAAATTGTCTTAGTTTAAGCAGGAGAGCTTCAGTTGTTTTCCTCAACTCATAGAATCATAGAATTGAAGAGTTGGAAGGGACCCCAAGGGTCATCTAGTCCAATGCAGGAAACTACAGCATTCATGACAGGTGGCCAGCCAACCTCTGCTTAAAATCCTCCAAGGAAGGAGAGTCCACAACCAGCCAGCGTTGATGTAGTGGTTAAGAGCGGTGGACTCGTAATCTGGTGAATCGGGTTCGCTTCCCTGCTCCTCCACATGCAGCTGCTGGGTGACCTTGGGCTAGTCACACTTCTCTGAAGTCTCTCAGCCCCACTCACCTCACAGAGTGTTTGTTGTGGGGGAGGAAGGGAAAGGAGAATGTTAGCCGCTTTGAGACTTCTTAGGGTAGTGATAAAGCGGGATATCAAATCCAAACTCCCTCCTCCTCCTCCTCCTCCTCCTCCTCCTCCTCTTCTTCTTCTTCTTCTCCCAAGGGAGACGGTTCCACTGTCAAACAGCTCTTACTGTCAGAAAGTTCTTCCTGACGTATAGTCAGAATCTCCTTTCTTGTAACTTTGGTTTGAGTCCTCTCCAGAGCAGAAGAAAACAAACTTATTCCATGTGACAGTACTTGAGATATTTGAAGATGGCTATCCTATCTCCTCTAAGTCTCCTTTTTTCCAGGCTAAACATACCCAGCTCCTTCAACCGTTCCTCATAAGGCTTGGTTTCCAGATCCTTGATCATCTAGGTTGCCCACCTCTGCACACATTCCAGCTTGTCAACATCCTTCTTAAGTTGTGGCGCCCAGGATTGGACACAGTATTCCAGCAAATCTGGACTCACCAAGTCCCAATTTGCAGCGAGGGTATCTTTAAATGAAAAAGAAGGAAGTGATCATCTTGCATATGTCGAAGAGAGTGAAAGTTGCTGATTAACCACAAATGCAATTCTGGTTTGTCAGAAGCTGCCTTAACATCCGGGTTCAGATATGTAACATCTGTTACTAAGGTGGGGAGGGGGACATTAATATATGATACTGTTCCAAATCTGGGGTAGTAGAGTTTGCGGGGTGCAAGGGCACCCATCACTGCAAGAGTTAGTGAAATTTATACATTAATCCATGGTAGAGTTTAGATAATATTTGCGGGTAATGAAGGGAAGATGCCGGGCCAGTGAAAAATACAGGATGAACCAGTTCTCCTGTTCAGAAGATCACTTATCATGGTGCAATTAAAAGCACAGGGAGAACAATTGACCATGCAAACGCTGCCCTTCCCTCCGACCAGCTCAGTGTTAGTTAAAGGTAAAGGTAAAGGGACCCCTGACAATTAAGTCCAGTCACGAATGACTCTGGGGTTGCTGCGCTCATCTCGCTTTACAGGCCGAGGGAGCCGGCGTTTATCCACTTCCAGAGACAGTTTTTCCAGGTCATGTGGCCAGCATGACTAAGCCGCTTCTGGTGAAGCCAGAGCAGCGCACGGAAATGCCGCTTACCTTCCTGCTGGAGCGGTACCTATTTATCTACCGGTACTTGCACTTTTTGGGTGTGCTTTCGAACTGCAAGGTTGGCAGGAGCAGGGACCGAGCAACGGGAGCTCACCCCGTCACGGGGATTCAAACTGCCGACCTTCTGATCGGCAAGCCCAAGCGACACAGTGGTTAACAGAAGACAACAGCAGAATTGAGAGGGGGGTGGGGTTGCTAGGGTAATGGAGGGGCATGATGAAACACAGGAAGAAAATGTGCCCTTTGGAAATTTAGAGATTGGGGAAGAATGAGGATGACTGGATGAGCTGCTGTGAAGGCCAGAACCATCTTGACAGACTAGGACAGTGGAATGGAAATGTTGTGCAGTTTGCCCTGGATTCCAGTGCTCCCCTGCTGTGGGGAACAAGCCCCTCTTAACACGGGCACCAACTTCTATACAATATTGGGGGGACCCAAGTAAGCTCTGCATAATTGATCAAATGGCGCACAAACACCATTTGAAAGGCAATGCTCATCAACTTGGTTTTTTAAAAAATATTTTTATTAGGAATTTTAACATGACAATTTATCAAAAGTACATCATCCTCATACCCCCCCATTTTTCCCCTCCCCCCAAAAGAGAAAAACCCACCCTTCCACTCCCACCCTAGACTTTCCTCAGCTCCTCTCTCTGGTTTCTCAACATATATTATTCTCTGCATGTTATAAAATTGTAAAGATATTCAGTTTGTCTATCTGTATATTACCAATATAGAGTTTGTGAATGTTTATTTGAAGATGCTCATCAACTTTGAGGGGAGGGCAGCCTCCTCAAATATTTTATGGGGGACTGAAACCCCTTCCGTCGGCTCCTAAGCCTCTTAAGATGTCATGCTCTGAACTCTCTCCAAAGTTAGACCCAGGTGTAAACACGGGTACAAGAAACCATATTTCTTGAAGGCACTAGTCTCCGCAGTGCCTTGGTTTCCCAATGGAAACTCAACCTTTGGTGAGAACCTGGAACCCCTTGGAATCTTGCTACTCCTAGGCAGAGATTGGGGTGTTGTGCAACCTCTGTAATAATGCTTAGTTAGCATGGAAACATGGTAGGAAATATGAGCATTCCTTGTAAATTAATGGTGGACCAGCAGCCAAATCCAGGTGTCTCCCTCCCTCCCTCCCTCCCTCCCTCCCTCTCTCTCTCAGGAATCTCTCCAAGCCACACATACCTGCTAGCCCTGTGGTGTTTTTTTCTTGGTTGAAATGTGTCTCTGAACTTTGCCAGTGCCTCTTGCTTGCCTGGAAAGAGAGGGGTATTAGAAACAAGTCTACTGTACAAAGATAACATCTGCATTCATTGTATTGCCCACTTTTGCCTCTGG